CCCGGACTTGCTAATATACTTTCTTTCTATGTGCGCATTTAATATTCGCTCGAACGGTGAAGGAAAACATCGTGAGTAAACCAAAGAGACCCAAAAAGTCGACGGCGGGTGTCAGGCACAGGAGGCTGATCACCTACCTTGCCTATTAAATTGGCAAATGCTCATGAAATAAATACAGAAATCTGAGGCCCAGGCCCAGGCTAAAAAAGGTTGTTGCGCCACAGATTTTTACTTTTCATTTCGTCTAAACTCAGTTTGGTCTAGTTTCAATACTACTTTGTTAGTCGGGTATTCAATTGTAAACTAATATATGAACTCACCGGCGTCGGGACGTGACGACACCATCGCCCACTGGTGAAATAACCTGTGACAGAGGTTATTTCATCAGCGCAATCAGTAACCCCTTCCTAGTGGGAGTGCCATGCTGTTGCCTTCGGGCTTCAGCCAAATGGGCAGGCACGACCGGGGCAGTACCACTGTCTCTTAGAAAACCGGCGTGAAGTGATGCAATAGGTTCGCCTTATTGTACTCGCGTTTCGTGCCGTGAGGGAGACTCCCGGAGCCCATCCCCCCATATGAAATATGAAGGTGCAGAAAAAACAGAATCTACCCCAGGGGGTACCACACGCGCTCGCGGTGGAGAATCCCCCTCTGGGCGTCCAACACCGGGACACTCAGCACCCGGTGGTGGACGCACAGGCTGCCCTTCGTATTCTGGGGGGGGCAATTCTGCGCTCAACAAAAACAGTTATCGTTCTCGGGGCAAACGGAGCAATTCAACAAAGGCACCCCCGTCCACGCTCGCCGTGGACTTCACAAATGTTAGGGGGCTCAATTCCAATATCAACGCAGTCCACTACCATTTAGAGACTGCGAAGCCGGCCTTGCTCTTTCTTACCGAGACTCAGATTTCCTCCCCGGCTGATACTTCCTACCTCTCCTACCCGGGGTACAAATTGGAACATTCATTTGTGCCGCGGGCGGGAGTTTGCGTGTACGTCAGAGAGGATATCTGTTCTCGTCGCCTCGGGACGCTTGAAGGAAGGGACCTATCTAACCTCTGGCTGCGCGTAGACTGCGATGACCATCCGCGATTCTACGCATGCCTGTATAGGTCCCATAGCGGAAATACCGAAACTGACCGACTCATTGAGCACATCCAAATGGCTACAGATTCCCTGCGCGAAAGGGTTCCTACCGCTGAAATCGTGATACTTGGCGATTTCAACGCCCACCATGCCGATTGGCTCGGCTCTGAAACCACCAATCACGCGGGAAGATCCTTTCACGACTTTGCTTTAGCCTACGACCTGACACAAATGGTCCCTGCGATTACGCGAATACCAGATGTTGATGGTCATAAACCCTCTTTGTTGGACCTTCTGCTGACGTCACATCCGGAGAACTATCAAGTCTCTGTTGACCCGCGATTGGGTTCATCGGATCATTGTGTGGTCCGGAGTACTGTGCCATCTACGCGCCCTTCACGGCCCCACTTTATGGGTTGTCGCCGTATTTGGCACTATAAGTCAGCAGATTGGGACGGGATGCGGTATTTCTTTGCGTCCTACCCTTGGGGGCCTATGTGCTTTTCGCCGGAAGCTCCAGATTCCGTCACCGCCTCTGTCGCCGAAGTGGTTCTGCAGGGCATGGAACTCTTTATTCCATTTTCTGCGGTGCCGATCGGTGGCAAGTCTCAGCCCTGGTTTAAACATTCTTGCAAGGCGGCCTCGCGTCGAAAGCGAGAATGCTTTAAGGCATGGGCGGAAGCGGCGAAATCTCGTGATGCCAATACCAGCGAACTTAAAACAGCATATAACTCAGCCTCCAGGTCCTTCAAACGGGAAATCACTAAGGCAAAGTCAGAGCACATTGCCAGATTTGGCGAGAGATTGGTCCAGCTCCCTTCAGGGACTCGAGCCTTCTGGTCTCTCGCCAAAGCTGTTCAAGGGAATTTTTGTCAGCCCGCCATTCCGCCACTGCCAATCTTCCTTGGACATTCATAAGTCGAGCGGGCCGGATGGTATCCCCCCCAATTGTGCTGCGTACTTGTGCTCCTGAGTTGGCTCCGGTCTTAACGCGCCTTTTCCGGTACCTGTACTCGCTCGGCACTGTCCCGAAGTGCTGGAAGACCGCTTCGATACATCCGATCCCTAAAAAAGGCGATCGCTCTGATCCGTCTAACTATCGCCCAATAGCTATTACCTCCTTGTTCTCCAAAATAATGGAAACCATTATTAATTGCCAGCTCTTGTGGTATCTAGAGGGCCACCAGTTGATTAGCGATTCTCAGTACGGCTTTCGTCGTGGTCGCTCAGCTGGTGACCTCCTTGTATACCTTACCCATAGGTGGGCAGAGGCAATTGAGTCCGAGGGGAGGCGCTGGCGGTAAGTTTGGACATAGCGAAAGCCTTCGATCGGGTGTGGCACAGAGCACTGCTCTCGAAGCTTCCAGCCTATGGGCTTCCCGAGAAATTATGCGATTGGATCTCCAGCTTTCTGGCTGATCTGAGCATCAAGGTCGTCATCGACGGAGCATGTTCCGACCTTAAACCTGTGAACGCTGGGGTCTCACAAGGCTGTGTTCTATCCCCGACCCTATTTCTTTTGCATATCAATGATATGTTGCAACTTAGCAACATTCATTGCTATGCGGATGACAGCACTGGGGATACTTTTTACACTGGCCGGGCAGGTATTTCTCGGGCAGTTGTTGATGAGTACCGGAACAAACTTGTGTCTGAAGTCGAAACTCTACTACGTGGAGTCTGAGACACTGGGGCAGACAAAACCTAGTCCAATTTAACCCCAAGAAGACACAAGTTTGCGCGTTTTCCGCTAAAAAAACACCCTTTGTCGCTACTCCTCTTTTCGAAAACACTCTTCTTAAAGCCACAGCCAGCATTGGAATACTTGGCGTTGACATATCGAACGACGTTCAGTTTCGCGGGCACTTGGAGGAAAAGGTTAAATTAGCCTCCAAAAAGCTTGGTGTGCTCAGCAAGGCGAGGCGGTACTTCACTCCGGGCCACCGCATGCAACTATATAAAGCGCAAATTTGGCCCCACATGGAGTACTGCTCTCACCTCTGGGCGGGGGCTCCCCAGTACGAGCTCCTTCCACTTGACCGTATACAACGCAGAGCGGTTCGAATCGTCGACGACCAATCCCTCTCCGAGCAGCTTGATCCTTTGGCGTTGCGTAGAGATGTGGGGTCACTCTGCATCTTCTACCGCATTTACCATGGAGAGTGTTCAGAGGAGTTGTTCGGATTAATACCTGCAGCTGAGTTTCATCATCGGACGTCGAGACAGAATACGAAATTCCACATCACCTCGACGTCCGCCGTTCCACAACTGAGCGTTTTTCAAGGCAGTTTTTGCCGCGCACCACCACTATGTGGAATCAGCTGCCCACTGAAGTATTTCCGAACCAATCCGACTTAGGGTCCTTCAAGAAAAGAGCGTACCAATTCTTAAAAGGCCGGCAACGCACTCGCGAGCCCTCTGGCATTGAGAGTGTCCATGGGCGGCGGTATCACTTAACATCAGATGAGCTTCCTGCCCGTTTGCCCCCCGTTCTATAAAAAAAAAACATACAAACAAGTTTTGGTCCTATCTACAGATGTCGTAAATTTGCGATTTTGGCAAAACTTATTCGTTCTTTAATTGTTGGTGTTCATTAGTGTAAAGCACTTACCGAAATGAATGAAATTTTGTCATTATATTATATCTGATCTTAATAGAGGCGTAATACTTTTTTGTCTTTCGAAAATTTTCTAAATTTATAATCTACATTCAGAAAAACGTAGTGTACTCTTTGTCATTTCTTGTTTAACAGTGTACCTTATAATGTTGTATTTGATTATTTAATTATTGTCAAACAGTTAGATTACAAGAAAATTAATAATTTTCGCTGAATGGGATTTTGGTATATACGTATATTTTCATTTATTATTTTTTTTTTAAATAGATACCTAAGATCTCGGATGTACAAATTAAATAAGTTGGTATATATATAACCTCTTTTCTGCTAGATTTGCTTGAAGTATTTTTTAATTATTTTACGTTCATGTTGTATGTTAATTTTATATTTATTCTCGCTATAAAATATTTTGCAACTAAAATAATTTCCTACTAAACGGTCCCGTGAATATTTAAAATCTATTAATATTAAATAAGAGTGTGTGTGATATGAAAGTTGGAAATATGAATGTGGACGCAATAAGTCAACGTATTGGCGGCGCGACCACAAATTACATGCATGATAATGAAATTTTTGAAACGCGCGCTGCACGAAATGCGGCGTGGGGACGAAAGCACGCGCGATAATAACGCAGCTTTAAATCATGAATAATTAAAAGCTCTGTATGGGCTAAGTGGTAATCATTTAGCCATCGCTTAATGAATTCAGCAAACAGATCGCATCGTTGATTAGCAACGCGGCGAAAAGGCTGATCTGCAACTAGCGTTTTGTAAGCAAACGACGTTATTGTTTCCTGTTTGGTATATAGTCGTAAGTTAACATCAAAAGTAGGGTGTGCAAGCATTTTTTATTAAACAAGGACTAAAACTATGTTCTCCTGTTAAATAGAATAGTAGCCGTTTTTTAACACTGTATTACATTGAATAATTGCTGTTAACAGTAACATTTTTGTTACAGCTATAAGAAATCGTATTTCAGAGCAAATTGTTTTCATTTTCGATGTATTGTATGTTGTAAAAGTTCTTGCGTGCGACGTGTAACCCGCTAATGTACAAAGAGCCGGCCCGCAGCTGGTTGTTTACGCCCAGATTGATGGCGACTGCGGCTATTGCAGCCACTCTGCCGCTGAATTTGTGCCCTCATCGACAACGCACTTTGAATTAAAGGACACTCAATATTTTAAACTAGCAACGAAACCCACAAAACAGATGACTACATATTAATTACTCCATCTCAATAACAAAAAATGAACAATTTTTTTTTATTTGTAATGTATATGCCCTGAAACTACAGATATGAAAATTACTTTACCTATAAAAAGATTGATCCCTTTAAGCATTGAACAGCGTGGAATAGGTATTTTCCATAGACGCATTTTTTGGCCAACGAAACGAGTGGTACATTATTTAAGAGTAGTTAAGGCATCAAGCGACCCTCTCGGGAATCGAACTGAAACCGATAGTTAGAGTAATTCAGTCCATAAGGAACGTCTTCCTGTCAGTTCGTCGCCTAATGTATTCTCAAAGTTCCCTAAGTCTTATTGAAGTCCCGAGGGGGTGGGGGAGGGGAGTTCCGGATGAAACAAGTTTGCAATTCGGCGCCTTGTTTCAAAAGACTTATTTTTGGAATTATCCGATTGAATTTGTTAAGCAGCCCGATGTTGTTATTGGGCCTCCGAACCCTTTTCAGTTGTTTGCTCCACTTTAAATCATTACAAAAATATTTCATTTCATTTAACAATTAATTTCACTGATTAAATATCGAATAAAGTTAACTCGACTCGAACTCGGAAATGAAACTGTAACATAGTATTGTCTTTTATTATCATAACTTTTACACATTTCCTGTAAAAAAGTGTTCTTTTTAAATGAAACTGTAACATTATAATTCACTCCTTAAAAGTAAATAAAATGCCTAATGGCAATAACGAGTGATATTTACTCTGTTTTCAACTGATTCACAATTGCAAACAAATAACTCGTCTAATCTGAAGGGTTTGCTTTGAAACGCAAATAATTGCCGAGTATCAAATATTACGCGCCCGTAATTACACCGGTAATCCCTTTGCATGTGGATTTTCTGAAATTATTTTAGCTCTCGATTATAAACATAACTATTGTATATAAGTTTCTCGCTATCCTAACTTCAGCAATTAATTAAGAACTACTATAGTACTATAAGGACGCCAATATCAGGTATGAGCGTGGTTTTTAATCAGTCCTATACAGTACCCATAGGCTGATTACCTACATGGCTATTAGATTGACCAATGATCATGAAACAGATTCAGAAATCTGAGGCTCAGGCCTTAAAAGGATGTAGTACCACTGATTTATTTTGTTGTTTAAAAAAATAACAAAGCTATATTTATTTAAAAATTATGCCCTAACTCACAACCCTCGCTCACAACCCCCCATGCAGCAATGTCAAGCAATCCTTTGACCTGAAATAATAGCAATGAAGTCCATTAAGTAATGTTAAGTGCTATTCAAAGTGCAGACAGACAAAATTAGTGTTCTCAGTTTTAATACTAATGAGTACTTTACGGCGCGCCCTAGACACTAATTAATTACGATAAAAGACTTTCGCCGACTGACCCCAGCTCTTCTCGGGAACTAACTCTCAATTTAATGTTTTAAACTTAACTGGAGCGTAAACAGAAAATACAATCATTCTTTGAAGCTTTGATTTACAAGATTGTTTAATGTTAACATATGAAAACGGACCATTAATATTCACAAATTGTGCTAACTACTAACATGGCTACGAACTAACCACTGGAGCCTAACGAACAAAACACGAGTCGGCTTTTACTCGGCCTTTACCCGGCCTTTATCCGCAATTCTAACCGGTTATTGATGTAACGGCCACTTTTTGCAAGTCATTACATTAAATCATCAACTTTAACAATATACGTCGTACAAGTTCCGCGTCTAGTGAAATTCTGATTTCTCTGAAATTCTCTTGTTGTTTTTATTTCAGAATTTACGAAGTTTCGATTCGCATTGGTTATGATTTCAGTTGCACTCGTTCCTTATAAAATATATCAATTTTTATAATTATATTTATGTAGCAAGACTACATAGCGAAGTTCATAAGTGTACTTGTTTACCTATACGAATAAAGATATTTTGACGTAACAATTTCAATTATTAATATTTTCTTTGTGTAACCTTTGTACACCTGGAAACTGTATTTTTCATAGAAGAAACATGTGGGGCTACCAATCGTACAATAAAGTAACCATTGACATATTAGTCGGTGACGGAGAGCTGTACCTCGTTGGCCTCGTTCCCGGCGCTAATTGAAGCTGCACTCGTCGTTCTGTGCCGCACTGAGGCTTAATTATTGAACTACCAAGAAATGCAATGATGCTACTCTATATATGTTCTCATGCCTGGCTAGATTTACTGTTTATTACTACTTTCTGGGACGTTCGTTATACACGTTCGCATAAACGAACAAACTAACTCTCTCGTTTTGTTACAGACTGCCTTCACCTACAACTGTATCGCGACCCCAAGGACAGATACAAGAAGGGCCAAACTAAGGCATCCCTGTCACTCCAACACTTCTTGGGCTTTGAATCTGGGTTCACCTTAGACAAGGAGTCAAACACCATTGCTATAATATGCCAAGACGTGATCGTTGTTTTGGCATTTGAATCCAGAGAGAGGTTAATCGCGTGGCAAGTTAAAGTGGGCTCTCTGCTCGGCTCCCCAAAACAGTATCTTGTGATGATCGGTAATGGAGGGTCAAAGAAATTGCCTGCGGGACCAGCAAGACTGCATTTGGAGGGCCGGAAGTTTACGCTAACCTCTGGTGTCCCGCCTAGAGTGCTCGGAATTTGGGAGCTAGCTCATTTAAGGTAAGTATTGAAATAGTGGTACTGTTTATTGAAAGTCAAAAGTATATTATTTACTTAATAAACTTTATCATTGCTTATTCATCACTCACCAGAGCTTCAATAGAGCTTCCTTATACGTGACAGCGGATAATAAAGTCGTACATAAAAGTCAACGATAATAAAATTGCATGGCGGGTCCGTTTAAAACCGACCATTTGATATACGCCACAATAAAACTTGATCATTTCGCGGTGGCCCATAAACGACATCTGCTTTATGTAGTTCGTCTAGAGTTAATGGTGTCGACTTCCGGCCGCCATCTTGTACGCGCCAACTCGACGCCATTTTGCCGCGTTTCCGTGCGCCTTGCCAGAAAATAATGCATATTTTTAACAGTTAGCTAGAAGTGGGTATCTGAATGTTTGGGATAAAAGATGAACTTTTCTATTATCTCAAAATTTGTCAACACGGTTAACAACATGTCTTAGATAAAAACAACAATTTAAATCTTAAGATAATTTGAGTAAAGCATTTAAACAATAGTATCGTAGTATATAAACGTGTAATACCCGCTGTGTGTTTCCTACGCTTCGAAACACATTAACAACATAATGAATGCAACGTAACAACAGCAATTAGGTGTTCTGTAAATGATAGCAAATAGATCCTTCAGTTATGCAAAAGTTCTCTTTGTGGCTGCGGCCATTATAAGCTAACTTCTCGTTTACACGGTTTAAGCTGAAAATTGCAGAGTTTCAGAATATGAAGCAAAATGATAGGAGTGTACCACAGTATACGTACCACAGTAATTTCTAAACATCGGACTCTTTACATTATTATAAACATAAATATATAAACTTGAAAAGTGTGAATTTAGACAGCATTGAAATAAATAATAAATATTTATTATTTCCTATGTTCATTTGATTTCTGTATAGAAACCGAAATGATAACAATATTTTTAGTAATAATATAGTGTAATATTTTATTACACTATATTATAAATATTTCCGTATATTATTACAATAGCATAACAGTGCAATACTATAATTGTCCTACTGCATGTGTTAAGCTGTGTCAACGGTTACTAACTCATACGTGGTTCCTTTCTAATGTGCTTCGTTGAACACGAAAGCAGTGCAGCGGTCGACAGCGTCGTGTTGCACTCGCGACAATATCACTTTTGGAGATATTTATGCTGAATAACTTTGTCGCTTCCTAATATCTCGCTCAGACCTGCTTAACTTATTATTTATTGGTTTTTCCTTCAAATTTAAACTTAATACATAACAATTTTAGTTCATAAATCTGTCTGTTAGTTTATGTAGCATTTACGCGTCTAATGAAGTTGTTTTTGCAGGCGCTATGGCGTTGTGGAAGGTCGATTTTGTTTTGAGGGTGGGTCTCGCTGCGGCAAAGGCGAAGGCCTGCATCTGCTTATTACAGACCAAGCACAGGACATCACGGATGCCTTCGACCAGGCCGCGCAGTCCAGCGTGTCCACACCCAAACCGAAACGTGGAAATACAGGTAAAAAGTAATATACATAATTATACGGTATTATCATCGAAAACCATATTAGTAGGTTGTGTTAATTTTTTCGCATAGGCTATGTGTTTCCATGGGCGGTATAACTTAACATCAGGTGAGCCTCCTGCCCGTCTACCTCCTGTAACATTAAAAAAAATGTATTAACTTTAAAATATTTGTAGATGTCAACTGATCGACACATATTAATTACTATGTAACCTTTTTAATCATGTTCGCTGTTCAAATTCTTTATTTACTAACATATAATAAATGTTAATAGTGCAGTCAACAGTAGGTTTAATACACATTTATTTTAAATATCGTGTAGGTACATACAGGTACACCTCACATGGTACGAGTTTGAGCAAAACATAAAAAAAATATAATGTTACATACATTTTAAATGAACTTTTAATATTTTGTTACTATTTACAGGTTTTGAAAGAACCAGACCGAATACACGTTTGTCAGAAATGAATACTCAACCTTTTGACCATTCTATGCCAGACTCAGCAAGTGCTCTTTACGAAGAGAACTATTTTGGTGAGGAATGTGGAGAGAGCCCTTCATTTTGGCCTTCAGATGAAAGACGAGGCTTACAACAATCTGAGTTCAGAGCCGATCGAGGTGAAGCTCCCAAAGCTCCCTGGAACGGGGCTGATCATATTACCCTGGAACGATGCAGCAACTGTCAGTCAAAACTTGGTGCAGTGTCTCGATTATCTACCGTAGCGTTGACTCCAGGAACTAATTTTCAACCCGAGTGGACTATGGAGGCAGTACCGGGCAGTAGTTCAGACAATTCGTCAAGTAGCACCGAGTACTTGACCCCTAGAGACGTGAAAAATAATTTAAATACATGTAACTGCAAAGATCGACCTCCAGACAGACCCCCAAAACCGGCACATTTTGATCAGAAACGACCTCCAGCTCTTTTGCCGCAACAACCATCTCATAATTATTTTAAGGATGAAGATGTTCTTGTACATAATCCCAAAGTGGGCCCCTATGAAAACTATGATGTTCCTAAAAACTTGCATTCTGACGTAAGTTTGCTTCTATTCAAGAGTTTCTAACATAGCAGAAGTAGCATTTTTTTTATTTTTAAAATTGTGTATATTTTTACAGATTGATAATGTGGAGTATTATGATACACCAAAGAAAATTAAACAAGCCTTGTCGGAGGATTTATTCCAAGTAACTCAAACGTCCTCACCGGATTCCTTAGTGCTGAAGAAACAATGTGGTTGTTTACTCAAATTTGGTTCAAAGAAAAAACCAGTGATCATAGATTGCGACGACAGTTTACGACCCGTGGACTGTCCTTGTCAGAAGGTTACTAATTGGGCAAATAGTCTGATTGGCCTGCCGTACTGCAATCGCAGTTCTAGCAACGAAAACTTAAACCCCGCGGAATCGGCTCGTAGCAGTGACGAAGGAGCTCTATATGCAACCGTTGACGTTTCTAGGAAAACTAATCGCCAAAGTACATCTACTAGTAAAGACTCTGATGAATCTTACGAGCATATTGCCACGAATTATCAAAATATGGATATGAGTGATGAAAAAGAATGCGAAGGCCCTTACGGAAACTACGAGAACTTAGAATTTGCTCTATCTTTAGAGTACTATGAAAATGCAAAAGATTTGTTAAAAAAAGCAGGAGTAACCCAAAGCGAACTTGATGCCTTAAGTGCGAACATTAATATTGCATCAAAAACTGTCCCTAAAAAACAAAACCTCTGCTTGAAGTGTGGCCATAACCAGTCTTCAAAAGGTGGACTACATAATACAAGGACAAAATGTGATGAATACTTGCTTATGGAACCACCAAAAGAATCCAAAATCGAGGTTCCCTGTAGAGAGAATGGATCAAATCCTGGCTATACTCCTATGGTACCCAATCCAAATTGGTCACAAAGTTTGAAACACCCTTCACAGAAGATGGAGCGTGTGGAAATAGAAAAAAGTCTAAGCATTCCCACCCTTAATGGCAATTCAATGCATGATAATAGTTCAGGTAGTAGCCAAATCACCAAAGAAGCAATGCAAAAACGTTCATGTTCTGTCGATTCTGCCCCTCTTCTTGAAGATTTAAAAGAATATGACACCAGTATAGGAAGTCACTTGACTTCATCTTCATTGGAAACACTGAGAAATTTGGCTTTAGAAAACAGACTAACTTCACCGTGCCACAACGATAGGGATTGTTATGACTGCTGTAAGTCATCTGGATCAGATAATAAGACCTCAGATGACAGCTCTACAAAAGATATCCCACATTTACGAAATAAACATATAGATAATGCCCAAATCAAGAGATCGTCGAGCGTCCCCTGCAAAGGTGGCAATAGAGATTCGTCGAGTTCCAATGACTCTGGAGTATCAAGTTGCTCTATGAAACATGCTGTTGAATATCAAGATTTTGAAATGCCCCTTACATCAAACCAGTCGCGATATCATTACATGGCGCAGAAAAGACTACGAGGCGGTATTACTAGTGTCCATTCATCTCTGCCAAGAAAATCAAAGTCATCCGATCCACTTCGTGACATGTCAATTCAAATCCACAAGGCAAATATACGCGCGAAATCCTCGTCTGCGGAGGCTGAAGTACCAGTTTTACCGCCAAAACAGTTTAAAGGTATGACAAAAGTTTAATTTGCTCGAAGTTTAAACATAAATGTTACTGTACGATATATAATTTAAATTGAAATTTTAGGTATAGTCGATACGCATAGTACGTCAAGTGGAACCTCAGACATGTCGGACTACATTGAAACTCTTTCTTTAACCTCCTCTCAATCGTCTTCAGATACGCAATCAGGTGTCAGGTGAGTCGATTTTTTGCTTTGCCTTTAATTGTTCGGTATTGTAAAATAAAGTTTAAACAAATCATTTATTTATCTGAAAGTAAGTAGTAATGGATATTACTTAACAATGCATAAAAAGAATACTTGTTGATCAATACAATAATACTATTTAACATAATAATCTTAACGGCTAAAATAGACTTCACGGCTACAAGAGTATGCTGTACTACGAGCTACACGGCTGTGCTACGAGAATATTTTTGGCTACGGGATTAACGTAGCGATCGTTACACAACCTTAATACTCTTACATTCTATATTAACTGTTTTATGAAATTTGAGAAAGTTAAACTTAATTTCTAGGATCAATCGTCAGCCTACGAACACGTTGAGGCCTCGTTCCGGCAAAGAATACCACAACATAGACCCCATCATAACATCCATGTTTAAGAACAGTAAAGACCTGGCCAACTACTCTAACTTGCTCTAGACACTGCGGGTTAAAATTTTGTTACATTTATATAGTTTTTACATTTCGTATTTTTATAAGATCTCATAATTATTATTAGTGTTTTGACAGCCGCAGCACATATTTATGGTTTCAATAATGTTATGGAACTGTATTTTATCAATGATCTGTGACTATTCTAAGAAGCTATTATTATTACCTACGAATAACAATACTTAATTTGTATGTAATAACGCACTTATGATGGTATTAAATTTGTTGATATTTTGTAGGTAAAACGACATCTCGGTATTACTGTAATTACAATCCCGCACTTGAAGGTCGTTAGAGTAGAAATAAAATACTGGCAAAGTTTAATAATATTATTGAAGTGCATTGTTGCAATTTGTACCAGTTCTGTATTTACTGTGACAGTGGAGTGTTTTGTTTAATTCAATTAATTTTCTCATACAGAAGACTGAATTTAATATTTTATAGTCTTAGTGGTTTTTTTTGACAATTTCTTCGTTTTAACATTCTAAATAATGTTTAACTATCAAGGTAGGTCTACTTAAATAAGAATCCGGGAGTATATAAAATTGTAAAAATTTGACATTATTATAACAACGATTGAAAAAAACTTAGCTTCTAGTGGTGTGATTGTTGTAATTGATACGCAATTCGATCGCTTTTAACTTGGCTATTATCATATATTTAATCCCAATTTCGACATTCAGTACCAAATCTTTAAAAGTAGTATCACTTACAACAGTCACAAGAGTAATTTTTATATGAATTCTAAAGAAAAAGTATATAATTATAGATAATATTTAACCTACTTCGTTTATCCTACTTATTCGTATATAATAGTCTAGCCGCGTATCTCAACAGTTTCACACTCGTATTATAAAAACATCACTTATGATTTCCTTATTGTGGCATATATTTCAGTTAATTATTGGGTTAAAAGTGTAATAATATAAGTTATAATAAAATTGTATAAGATTTGAAATGTAAAGGTGTTTTACCTTAACTTACATATCTGTAGCAAGTTCGCTAGTGTAAAGCCCCTTCCCTCTCCCCCCCCCCCCCCTCTACCGACTATCACTACAAGTTACCTATGTATATCTGCGTATACTTAAAATATAGTTATTTGTAAAACATATCGCTCGTTGTTATTATTTATCCCATTATTGCGTTGTTACATTACATCGCATCACAACTATGTGGATTCAGCTGCCCTTCAGTGGGTTTTCCCGAACCAATTCGACTTAGGGGCCTTTAACAATAAAGCCTCCCAATTCTTAAAAAGCCAGCCAATCACTCGCGGACCTTCTGGCAGTATAAGAGTCCATGGCCAGCAGTGTCATTTAATATCAGATGAGCCTCCTATCCGCTTGCCAACTGTTCTATAAAGTAAAAAATATTTAGTACTTGTTTAAGTTCGCTATATCTTTGTATTGTGTAAACAATAATGTTTAGATTTTTGTTGACAGTATGCTGTGTACCAGCCATATTTATTACGAATACAAAATAAAATAAAATAAAATAATATTCGAGAATATAAAAAATACGGCATCCAGAATCTTTTTAATATCAAGTCTGATGCAATATTTTTAGCGTTTAGATAACCATAAAAACTAAAAGGTATGTCACGTGGTGGTATAGCAACTAGGCCTATATCACTTATACTCCAATAACTTTGTCATTATTTTATAATTAGGAAGTGTCATAGGAGAGTATCACCCAAATTCGTGTCATTAGTGGGAAAACCTTGGGGTGTGCATTATTCGCACACTTCGGGCCGTTTCCGGAATACCTAATGAGAACAAAATTGAAATACGTGTGTTGTTTAAATATTAAATCTTACAGCGCGATGGATTCATTATTTCATTATGCTTTTACGAGGCTACTATTTATATTTACTGTCTAAGTATTGATATACCTTACACAAGTATTTCAATACTGGGATGTAAAGTACGCTATTTTTAAACTGGTTAGGGATTGTATAGACTTGGGCCTATTTTTACTTTGCAATATAATAAATACACATGAGCCTCTAATTTTATTGAAATGTTACCCTCTTCACTCGTTACACGTCTTCTGGATCTTAATATTTTTTACAACATGTCATGTAACAGTGATTTTTTGGTATAGTGATAAATTCAATGGGAAAATTGAGAGTAAAGACGCCTTGTATTATTATAAAAAAAAGGGTGCGTGTACTTATGTACGCGCGTAAGAAGTTATACTTCTTTGGCATTATTAAAAATAGTTTTTGATTGCATGCAAATAATTAATTACAATTAAATAATCAAAGACTGGAAAAGGAGTCATTAAAGTCAATAAAGTTCAGTTTACATTTGAAAAATTAATTAAATAAATATTTATTATTATTCTCTTACATTAAACAAATAAAACACTATTTATCTTTAAAACATTTTTATTTCATTATACTATTTATTTTTAAGTGACTCTAATGTCTTCATCAGAATTTCGGTTTGTAATTTTAAATTAATCATTACTTGGTTGTGCATCTACGAGGCTTCTCCAAAACTACTTGCTTTCTGCAACAAATAAGAGAATATTAATTTAAGCTCTGTCCATGCAAAACTTAAAATTTTTTATAATTCATATTATAAATTTTTAACACATTTATATTAATATAATTATATAAATGTGTTAATAATATAATTTGTAGCACATGCTACAGACCTGGATAGCAACTTTCTTTTATTCTATTTAGAGATAGAGATAATTTAAATATAATACCGGTGTCTTCCTTGTAGGTTTCTTTGGAGTTGTTTGGGGATTCTTGTTGTTCAGTTCAACATGATTTTCTTTAACCTTTCTTTAATCCTACAAAATAATGAAATTGTTAAGTTATGTTGTCACTGTTGTGCACACCTTTGTTTGGCTTTTTTAGTATTCAAGTTATGTCAAAACTGATTTATTACCTTGTCATTGTTGGCTTTATTTGCTTTTGGGATATCAATTGTTTCCAAAATGATTTTATTTGTAATAACCTGAAATATATAAATAACATCTATTAATTTAAGTATCACGGTGAGTGGTTCGCACTCAGGTATTAAGGTGTATTATACCCACTGTCCATTATAAGTGGGAATGGGCTCACTTCTGGCAGGACAGAGTTTCGGTACTACAAGTGCAACATGGATGTTTTGAGGTATTACAATATCTCTAACTACCCTGTAGGGGAATAAAGTAATGTTGTAAGCATATGCCTATGCTTGAAAGGTTGAACCTTGAACATCACCATACATCATATTTATAATTAACATTCCTACCTCGACACCATCACAATCAAATTCATTGAAATCTACTTCAAACCATTGTGTCTCGAGAAGGTGATGGTGGCTTTGTTCCACCTCCAGTTTTTGATGTTTCACGGCGATAAGATGACAACTCTTTTTTTGTATTCAATTTAGTGCACTTCCACTGATTCATCAATTGTTTTTTGTCTCTTGTCCTTATATTTGCTAGATTAAATCTGATGTTTTGATTAAATAATGTGGTCATTTTTTTGAGATGCAGGTACTTATTAAAATGTTTACTTCTCTGTTATATCGCTCCAAGCCTTCATTTTCTCCTTTAGTATTCGTGCTTAAATCTTTGTTCTCAATTATTGATATATAGGGTCGTAGAATATTTCTAAAAAGTTGCTGTAACAAACGCAATAAACAAAAGCAATGAATAATGGTTCATGTTTCAGTTTTAATCAACAATAATACTCGATAATACATACGGATAGTTAACCTCAATTGTATTGAAGCACTCAGGAAGGTTAGCACAGTTTTTTCACAAATATTTTATATTATTTCACAAATATTTTGTATAATGAAAATAACTAGGTATATAATTATTAATTTTAAACAATAATTAAAACTCCTATATTTGTTTAAAAGGTAAATGTCATTGTCAGATGTCAATTGTCATGGTCATTCAAAATTCTTGTTAAGCTGCTAAGCTAGAATATGCGTGAAGTTAGCTTCACGCATATTCTATTTCTTTTTACTTGTAGTTTGTCTTATTCCCATCTCGCTCGCGCACGCTATATCACACTGCCAATTTTGTGTCATAGGTGCGCGCGCAATCGTAAAATTTCACTCTCATCAATTTTTCATAACGCGCCTAAAGAAGTACAACTTCAAAAATGTGCAGTCTCAAAAATAATACATAGCAAAGCTCCGAAACAATTCCTTTATATTTTTCGTTTATTTGTAATAAATGCTATCTGGCAATTGTTTTGATTAAAAATATTTATTTAAACCAACAGTATTCCATAACAAAACTGCATAAAAACAAAGCTTGAACGTGAGCTTTAAAGATAACAGTTATACAAACCGAATGCGAGTTTAATTAATATGCACCGCATGCGATCTCTCGCATACATTAAGCGATGCGTCAGACAGTGCCCACCTCTGCGGCACTCGCAGATAGCACTGAAATATACTGGGAGAACTTGAATCTTACAATTGATTCGACCATATCTGAACTTGCACTTCTATCTTTGGCAGAATTGCGGTTTTAACGCAGGAATTACCGACTCAATAGTCCAGATTTAGTCTCGAATTCGAAATGCAAAATGAAATTGATATTTAGAAACTGTACGGTGATGAGATAGTTAGAACAGATGAGTCTCATGGAATTTGGCAGAGCTTGTTGAATTTTATTAATACTATTGTACTGATAGTGGATAAAAATTTAGATATATAAAACAAATGAGACAAAATTTAATGATAATTTAAACAAAATAAGACTCAAGTTTTAGTGATACACTTTTAGTGATAATATGATGCCCCTAAGCAATTATCAACAAATCACTACTGTCATTGTTTAGATACCCTTAACTAAACATATGTTGTATATATTTCGGCGTAACTATTCATTTAGCAGTTATCATAGTGAGTGAATTGCCCATAATAGAAGAGACAGGTCATGTTTCAGCTGAATGTCTCCAGAGATTAACACAATCAATAAATAGCAGGTTGCAGGTAATGCATGGCCCGATACTGTCAGGT